TTTTTTCTTTTTATTCCATCTATGTAAAGCAAAGATGGCATATACAGGTTTGGTGCAATGACATGACTTACAGGCTTGACAACTTGATGCTACAATACTTTGAAAATTACAGACAACGTTCATGTTTCTGCTAGGTCAGTCGGGACCACACCTCCCACCAGAAGCTGCATCTCAGAAAAGACTAAAATTAATGGAAATAAGAAAAAGTCAATGCTAAAACCTATGATCGTGTGGCACATCTCTCAACAATCCATCATATTTTGCCACCTCTGTTAAGTATGATCTCGGAATGTGATCTGTATTTCTCTCAAATTCCATAAAGAAACGATTTTTTCCTCCCTCCGTGTTATATCGAATCCAATTGTGGTCTTATTTCCTTCTTATTAAGTGAAAAATAAGAATAGTCAAATTTAATTATCCATTGAATCGTGTTCCCTCTCTCACAATTCATATATTTTCCTCCTGTGTTAATATGATCCAAATGTGGTCTTTATTTTCATCTTATTAAATGGAAATAAGAATAGTCAAATTTAATTATCTATTGATCGTGTTGCCTCTCTCACAATTCATATATTTTTCCTCCTGTGTTAATATGATCCAAATGTGGTCTTTATTTTCATCTTATTAAAGTGGAAAATAAGAATAGTCGAATTTAATTATCTATTGATCGTGTTGCTCTCTCACAATTCATATATTTTTCCTCCTGTTTGAATAATCCAAATTGTGGTCTATTTTTCATCTTATTAAGTGAAAATAAGAATAGTCGAATTTAATTATCTATTGATCGTGTTGCCTCTCTCACAATTCATAGATTTTTCCTCCTGTGTTAATATGATCCAAATGTGGTCTTTATTTTCATCTTATTAAATGGAAATAAGAATAGTCGATTTTAATTATCTATTGATCGTGTTCCCTCTCTCACATTTCATAGATTTTTCCTCCTGTGTTGATATAATCCAATTGTGGTCTTTATTTCCTTCTTACACGCATTCTTATTACTATTCTTTTCAGATCCATTAATATTCGTTTCATCCAAATGGTACACACGCGTAGCCATGGTGTTACATACGGTATGTAAGTATGTATGTACGTATGTATGTACGTATGTATGTATGTACGGTATTTAAGTATGCAAATGTGATCGTCCATTTAGGAATGTGTTCAGACAGATAGGATCAGCAACGGTGATAAGAATGATATAATAGTAATAGTAACAGTAATATAATAGTAATAGTAACAGTAATATAATAGTAATAGTAATATAACAGTAACAGTAATATATAATAGTAATAGTAACAGTAATAGTAATATAATAGTAATAGTAACAGTAATATAATAGTAATAGTAGCAGTAATATAATAGTAATAGTAACAGTAATATAATAGTAATAGTAACAGTAATATAATAGTAATAGTAACAGTAATATAATAATAGTAATAGTAACAGTAATATAATAGTAATAGTAACAGTAGTAATAGTAACAGTAATATATAGTAATAGTAACAGTAATATAATAGTAATAGTAACAGTAAGTAATAGTAATAAACAGTAATATAATAGTAATAGTAACAGTAATAATAGTAATAGTAACAGTAATATAAAGTATATAGTAATAACAGTAATATAATAGTAATAGTAACAGTAATATAATAGTATAAAGTAACAATAATATAATAGTAATAGTAACAGTAATATAATAGTAATAGTAACAGTAATATAATAGTAATAGTAACAGTAATACAATAGCAATAACAGTAATAGCACCATTATAGCCAAAAAGATCCCAGAGAAACAAACCCAATAAAAGAAGGGAAGACGTGACAATATAAATAACAAGAATTATAATGGAAACAGGCTACGCGAACCTTACCTATAAGAATCTACGATGCTACAGTCTCACCTGTTCTCATTAAAGAAAAAACTCATTATCTTGACGTGATAAAAGGCATAATCATGTTCTCGATCCCGGAACACTCACCTGAAAAAAGGTATAATGATACTGTCTCTTTTGATAAGATTTAAGCCGATAGACAAGGCTCCAGGATTAAGGACATTGCGTAATCAAAAAAATATCAAGATCTAGAATTTATTTCCATATATATATGATCATTCATATTGACGTGCCTCGTCCTGTAGCTTGTCAATATGGTAGTTTTTTTTTTTTTTTTTTTTTTTTTTTTTTTTATAATGGGATGTCTCAACTCCATTTTCTTTCTCTGTATAATATAGGAAACAAAAATGTGTAATATGGCTCTCGAGGTGGATCGTGACGGAAACATGACACTACACGCTGACATCTAATATAATACTTCATCCACTGTTTTGCATCTGTAATAAATACAACTAAGGTGATGAACATTTCCTTCTGAACTGAAATGGATTTATTTTTGTTCTCGGGACTAAATTCGGAACATGATTTCGTACGTTTTTTAGGATGCTGTATTTGAAACAACTTTCTGTGTCACTGATAATACAACGTGTTTTACGCTAAGACGAAAGTATTGCAAAGAAGTACGGTTATATTAAGTGTATCAATGGATCGATTTATGTGGTCTAGATATGAATGATATTTTGATCGGTTGCTGTCATTTTATGTAATTATTTATTTAGATCGTATTGTAATAGCTTGTAAGAAAGGTATGAGTCAGAGTAAATGATATCTTAATTATAAATATGGCACTGGCGCTTCTCCATAATCTCTAATCATATCTTTAATC